CTCCGCGTTCATGAAATTCCAAGACCCCAACAATTCTTCGATCTAAATTTCGGGCGTATGCAATTCGTTCATCTCTAGTACTGAAGATAGAAGGGGAAGGGGAATCCATCTTTGTTTTTGGCTCGCAATAAAGCTAGGGTCCTGATCGAGCAACTAGTAGTCCTATCTATCCACCTCTCCAAACACAATATCTTGAGTACCAATGATGGTGACCACATCTGCTGGCATGTGATGTTTGGACATAGAATCGAGTCCTTGTGAATGGGCAAAGCCAGGTGCTCTTATTTTACGACGGTAGGGACGATTGCTTCCATTACTGACCAGAAAGACACCAAATTCTCCTTTAGGTGCTTCAACTGCGGTATAGGTAGAAGAAGCTGGTACGGAAAAACCTTCTGTATAAGGTTCGAAATGGTGAATTGAGGTAGAGTAGACCGATGATCCTGTAGTCATTTGGCCGGCTATTGAAAGAAAAAGCTTGCATCTGCTCCCTCTATTATATAACCGGTCCCATCTCTCTCCAAACCTAACGTGGTAGTTTCCCATCATAGGGCTTTCTATCTATAGATTGAGCTATTACCAAGGAGCTAATTCGTTCAGAACTCAGTTGACTCCTTCTATAGATAAGGCGGAGCGTCCTTGGTTCAGCATTATAGCACATAGGGCTTCGGCGCTACTACAGCGCTTCGCTAACTCGAAGCGCCTCGCCTATGAGAATCTAGCTTCGCTAACGCTCGGCTAAGTCTTGAACCTTCGCGTTGACCGTTCGCTTTCTCAGTAGCAAAAGCGCTTCTCTTTTCCCTTTAAGTAGAAGGACAATAAAGATATTATTGGTTTTCTTGCTCCTCATCTGCGCTCATCAAGCCAACTTTTCTTTTTGGGATGTGAAAGAGCGGTTGAAGCGGACATTTCGAAATGACAGCATCGAAGATATACTTATATATATATATACGGTTACGGTTATCTCGGACTGCGTTCCGGAAAAAGTAGCCTACTTGAAGTTGAAGGGCACTCTTGTCTTTCAACCCACTATACTATTCATAGTTGTGGGGCACTGTATACTTATAGCCTCTACGTAAGCACACATTAAATTAGAGCCAATTGAAAGAAATTAAGGGTAAATAGGACTTTAAATAATTTATAATACTTTTCAATTTTTCTCTCTCCTTAATGTAACGTGATAAAAACCATTAGTTATTTTGATAAGTTTGACTTGATAGTGTGCTTTATCTACATATTAACACCCATCATGATATTTGAGTGCAAACAAGATGCTGCCACGTGTATGAAATTGGTTTAAATTGTATGTTTAGTTGACACGTGTTCATGAGAGATGGAATAAATAAATGTTGATTTGCATGAAATTTTGGGATAAAATTTTCAAGTCATTGTCATCCAATATTTGTTGTTTGGGATACGTTTCTTCAATCCTAGGTACACTAGGATTCAATTATTTTTATCCTATATATACCCAGGTATAGTCATTGTATTTTTCACATAAAAAACAAGAAGAGAGAGTAATGAGAGAGAGAAGAAGAGTGGGTGACTACCTTTACGTGAAAGAAAGAGAAAAGGTATTGAAAGTCAAAAAATGCAATACAATTTTGTTATAACAATGTAAGATACCTTTGTGCAAGTTGATGTTTCCATGTGATTTTATGTTCAATAATTTATGCATGAATTGTTAGTGGACTTTCGGGTTCAACATAACGAAATGTGAAATCCTTCGGGAAATTCAAAATGAGAAATGATGGGTATCTCGCTTAGTCACCGATATACTCCATAAAGAGAAATGTGGTATGAATTGTCTATATTATTGTTATATAATTGCGTATGAAAACTGCACGTATCTTACTAAAAATTTTTAAATACTCACTCTTACTATAATTTATCAGGTTAGTTCAGACTTATTTGAACTATGACAAATGGTGCAGCGGACTGCTAGAGATTTCGACCTGCGAAAAATACTAAGCTTTTATGCCTTTAGATTTATTAGTTTGATTTGGTCAAATATTATTTTTTAAATTAGTTAGTTAAGAATGTAATTAATTTTTTTTTTTAAAAAAAATATGATTTCATGATTTAAATTTAAGTTTATGAATGTTCCAATATTTTATTTATTAAAGAATTCTATATTTTATCGTTTCGCAAGGAAATTGAATTTTTTTGTAACACCGTAGTGTTTGTGAAATTGGGGGCATTACAGGAAGAACATGCATTGCCCTGTTGTAGCCTTTAGGTACCTCAATACTCTGGTTGCTACTTGATGGTGACTTACAGTCGGTTTAGCAAGGAATTGATTGAGCACTTGGACGGAGTAGGCTAAGTCAGGCCGTGTGATGGTTAAATATAGTAACCTGCCAACAAGTCTTCAATAGCTTAAAGGATCCTCGTATAAATTTGTATCAGTGGATTCTATGGGAAAAGCAACTGGTCTTGATTCAGTTAAAATGTGTCTTCAAGGATATCAAGTGCATATTTCTGTTGGCACAAAGAGATGCCACTTTTGGACCATGCAACTTCTATACTAAGAAAATATTTCAACTGCTCTAGATCTTTGATGGTGAACTTGTCATGTAAAAATATTTTTAACGTTTGAATTTCAAACATACTATCACTGGTTAATATCACATCATCCACATAGATTAACAATGCAATAAAGAAACAATCAGATTTCTTGATGAATAATGAACAATCAGAGTTTCCTTGCACAAAACCATAGTCGATAAGTGCATTAGACAGCTTGGTAAACCACTGGCGAGAGACTTGCTTCAAACCATAGAGGCTATTCAGTAACTTGCAAACCTTTCCAACTTCAGTAGTCAATTTAGGGGTAATTCCATGTATACCTCTTCACGTAAATCTCCTTGTAAAAATGCATTATTCACATCTAGTTGATGAAAATGTCATTTCTTGATTGCAGCTATAGCAACTAGGAGTCGAATATAAGTGATTTTTGCTACAGGAGAAAATGTATCAAAGAAATTCAAACCTTCTTGTTGAGTATACCATTTTGCCACCAATCTAGCTTTATGTCTTTCAATGGTTCCATCAGCTTTGTATTTAAGTTTAAAAACTCATTTACAACAAATGGCTACTTTGTTTTTAGGAAGAGTAACGAGCTCCTAAGTTTTATTTGACTCCAAAGCCTTAATTTCATTTTTCATAGCAGCTTGCCATTTAGGTATTTGTGCGGCTTGTTTAAATGTTTTAGTTTCTGATGAGTTTGAGATAGATGCTATGAAAGCTTTATGTGAAGTGGATAGCCTATTGGATGAAATAAAATGCTGAATAGAATAGAAAGTACCTGTTGTTGAGGATCCATCAGTTGAAGAAGATTCCTGGGATATCCTTTGAGCTAAAGAGACATTACCATAATAATAATCTTACAGATTATTTGGTGTGTGTTTAACTCTGTTAGATTTCTACGTTGTTGATCAGTTTGATCTGGTAATTGAGCAGTGGTAGATATGGGATAAGAGGTAGAGGAGGCTTGTTCAATGTGTGTGATTGGCTCAAAAGAAGGGGATGAATTAATGATGGAAGGTTGAGTGTTTTGATCTAGAGGTAAATGTAAACTTTTATGACAGGTTTCTGGGAAGGATGCTGAATTGGGAAACATGAAAGAATGTGATTCTTGGTTTGCTGGAAGGGTTTTGAAAAGAAAGATTGTTTCATGGAATGTAACATTTCTAGAAACAATTATTTTGTTGGTGATCAAATCCATAAGATTGTATCCTTTGTAATTAGATGGATATCCTAAGAGTATACATTTTGTTGTTCTTGGATCAAACTTTTCTCAGTGGTTTGTCAATGTGGATGCAAAACAGAGGCAGCCAAAGACCTTTAGATGGGAAAGATTGGGTGGTTTGTCAAATAGCATTTCGAAAGGGGTTTTGTTGTGGAGGAGTGGTGTAGGAATTCTATTGATAATATGGGCTGCAGTAAGTACACAATCACTCCAGAAACTGAGGGGTAAGTTTGCTTGAAACATCAGTGCTCTAGCGGTACCTAATAGATGTTGATGTTGATCTTGTTCTTGATTGTCAGGCTATGCTGATAGATCGACTCCAAGCTACATAGTTTTCTCTATTAAAAATTTCTGATACTAATAAAGTTCCAGGATTGTCATTGGGATGAAGATAATATGGACTAGAAGAATCATCTGAGGGATTGATAACTGAATTCCCAGAACTCATTTCAGGAAAATTTGCAGAAAATTCCGGAGCAGAATTTCACAGAGGATGATTGATTTTGTATGTTGCGGAAAGCGTTAATAATGAAGATTCAAGCTCTGATACCATGTTGAATATCATATTTATCTTGAAAGCAAATTAGAGGAAGGTTGGAGATAGAGAAACATAGAAACTAAGCTTGAAGATCAATTCTTATTACTGATGAAAAATGAGAATCCGAATACCTTACATCAAGTATTTGACTGCTTTTTATACTACATGATAATAGAAATTTGAACTATAATAACTAACTTTTAACTAATTGTAATAACAATATTGAACTAACTCAACTGGAATAACCGAAGCTAACTAACTCAACTAGAATAGCCGAAGCTAACTAACTCCTAACTTCTTTGAGCTAATTCTTCTTTTCTTTTCAATTTCATGCTGTCAATGTGTGATGCAATTCTCCAACAGGAACCACCAAACTTCTAGAATTGCGTATGTCAAATTTGCTACAAAAAATGATAACTATACCATGGGGCTTATCAGTATCTTTCATCCTAATAGAATCCTTATTCTTCAAGTTCAAATTATGTAACAGTGTGAAATGCACTTATTTATACATTCTCATGAATTGCGCAAGCTTATCCAGTGTCTTGAACCTTTAACACATTCAGTTTCTATTATGAACTGGCAAAATAAAGGCATGCTTTTTGTGTAACTCAATCTCAAATAATATCACTCAGTATTTACTGCGATGATATTTTTAAGTTCAAGTAGATTCATTCTCAATGATATGAATATGTCAATTGCTTCTTCCATTTACCTGTATACGCGAGTCCTACACTTACCAGTAATTACCTTGTTCCCCTCCTGAACGGATTTCTGCAGATATTTGTTGATCCTGGATCGAACGAATTGGAGAACAAACATGTCGACTTCACTTCTGGTTCCTTATATTTTCTTAAGTTTTCCTTCAGGATTGTTCGACTTGTTAAGGTGATGGTCTCTGCCTCGACATTCTACTTTCTTTCTTTCAACTGAAGTCAATTTTCTTAGCAAAATAATTGGCATTGTGGTGTAGGGGGGAGGTTGGAAAATGGATTGCTTTCACTGCAGTTGTATTGAGGCTTTTCTTCCCCCGACATTTTCCAGGTAAAATTGAGTTTGTATTTGTGAGTGATGTATGGGACTCTGTTCATTAATTATGGTTCAAATGGTCAACATTAGTATTAAAGTTAATGCTTCCTCTCCTAGTTACGGTAAATAATACAAGAGGAATGATGTGTTCTTGTTGCTCATTTTTGTATGTTCAGTTTGATTATAGTTTATAGTCTTTCACTGTCGTTTGTCTATGAGAACTGTTGTTGATTGAATACAGACTGGCTGGAGATGCCCGGTTCACTGATTATTCTTTTGGTGGTTGCTCCAAATTTCTTTGCTCACTCGGTAAGAGACAGCTGGGTTGGCGTTGCAATATACCTTGCCATTGGTTGTTATCTGCTGCAAGAGCACATCAGAGCGTCAGTGGATTCCGCAACTCCTTCACACAAAGCCACGGCATCTCAAACACGGTTGGCATTATCCTCTTGTTGGTGTATCCCATTTGGGATCTGGTAGTCCCATTTGAGCCATTGGTTGGCATTATCCTCTTGTTGCTGTCTGCATACTGAAAACCAAAAGTATTTGCCTCTTCCTATTTGTTGATTTCTTGGGTTGTTAAACTGAATGTAGCCAGTATTTTCATCCTTCAATGTGCCTTTGGTTTTTTTGTTTGAAGAAGCTTATGATTCTACTTTGGCAAAATGTTATTCTTTTCAACTTTTTTACTGATTATTGTTATGCTAAACGAGATTTTGCCTTTAAGATTTCTTCAATTTCATTCAATAATTTTAAAGGAGAATTTTAAAGAATTCGATCTCCATGGATGAATCATGCTACCCTGATGACATCAAACTAAGGTAATTCCCATATATACAACTTACGAGGATGGTGACTGTAAGTATTATACTTTTAAGTACAATCGATTTTGAATATAAAAACTTTTTAATAAATAATTGATGCACTTTATTTATGGTAGAGCTATTATTTAATTGAATTAATATTCAAATAAATTAAATAATCTGTAAATTCAAGTATTGATAACTTTTTAAATACAAGGAGTTGTGATTATGAGATACAAATTATATATGACTGAATTTTAAATTATCCATTGTCGTAAGTAATAACGAGATATGAATATCGCTATTACGGTTAGATCATCACACATGGTATATCTCACTTTTGAAGTGAGTAGCCGATCTTACATGTAATGTCATTTAAATGAACATATAGACATAATTGATCAGATTATATTGACAAATTGATTATATTTTCAAGGTAAATGAAAAAGTTTGATTTTGCCATACCACGTAACATTTCTCGTCACATGTGTTTCCCTGACACATTTTTAGATGTCATCTGAGACGACGAATGTGAATTAATTAATTAAGGTGAATTAATGATAAATTAAAATGATATTTTAGTTCATCTTCTTTTGATTAGATCAAAATAATAATTCACGTCGTTAGGTATCGTGATCGAAAACTCGCACACAAAAGAAGAAGAACTAGAAAAATGAAAATATACTAACTATTTAATTGACAAGAGTTCGACAATTAATTAATTGAATTACTTATTAATGTGCCTAATTAATTAATGGATCGTGTTTAATTAAAAGTTGGGAAAAATTCATTTTTCCTACTTTATCTTTACTATATTTCAAAAATAACAAAACAATTTTCACATTTCAAAAATCAGATTTTTTAACCTATACATACACCATATATATAAATATTATTTATATATATAAATATATAAAAAGATATAAATAAATAAATAAATATAATTAACNCAGTCTAGGTCACAAATCAGAATTTTGTTCATAGTCACGAGTTATTTTCTTTTTTTTTTTTTAAATATAAGGATCACAGGTTATTTTCAAATAATCACAGGTAAATTTTTCGGTGACAACTTATTTAATTTTGAGTCACAGTTCGAATTTTAAGGGTCACAGTTCACTAATTGGTCACAGGTCAACTACTGGATCATGTACCACCATCACCTCCAAATGTCTCCACAGCCACCGCTCCGACTGTACAAGACCACCACCACGCCACCACAGATACATACTTCATCACCACCACAAAATCGCCCCCGCCAAACCCCCCACCACCACACCCGCAACACACACACAGCAATCAACCACTTCGAGCCACAATCACATGTTTCAACAACCACCGACCGCCTCCACCTTCGTCTGCAACTGCAATCAACCACTACATTACCACCACCATCCACAGCCACCACCCCCCTAAAACCCCCCAAATCTGCAACAATCACCAGCCACATCGTGAAGACGGTGATCTGAGAGAAAAAATAAAATCGAGAAGAGAGGAGAGGAGAAGAGAGGAGCTCCGCATTAGCGATGGGCTGCTGCAGCGACATCCGACGACGGGCCAAGGGAGAGGAGAGAGAGGTAGCGACGGGCTACTGCAGCGAGGGTGAAGAGAGTCGAGAGGAGAGAAGACAGAGGCAGCAGGTTACACTGATCGCGGCGCTGGATTCACCACCTGTCGCCGGTGATGCTCCTCCGATGAAGCGCCTCAACATCAGAGACGAAGGGATGGTGTAGGGTGATGGGCGGCGGTCTGTAATGTAGAGAGAGAGAGAGGAAAGAGTGAATTGTAGGGTTTGTGAATTGTGTATATTATAATTAATTATAATATTATCATTAATATTTAATTAAATATAAAAAAATATGTATCTATATATTTAAATATCTGATTTTTGAAACTTAAAACACGAAATCTGATTTTAGAATTTGAATCTCCAAATGTAGGGGAGAGTGTAATTTCCACTTAAAAGTTTAAGTGTCGGGCCAAACCCAATTGAACTTTTATTAATAAACTATTAGGATTTTGAGAAATTATACAACACATTTCATAATCTTGCTAGCACAATAAAAGAGAAACTCTAAGGGCCTGTTCTTTTTGCTGTTTTCTGTTTTCGATTTTCTAAAACACTGAAAACGTGTTCTCTTCCCTATTTTCGAAAATGCATTTTTGAAAACGAAAAAAAAAATTGTACACAAAACACCAAAATGACTTTTTTCACGTTTTGGATGTTTTCGGGCAAAAATAGGGAAATTTGAAAAGACGGGAAATGGCTATTTTGAAACAGTAACACCCCATTCCCATCATTTCGATTTCTTCCATTTTCTTCCAATCCATTCCTATCTTCCTTCTCTCTGGACGCCAATTATCCCTTGTCGACGCCCACAAAGAAGATGCGCCGGTACCAGAGTCGGCATGGGCGAAGGAGACTCTTCCGTGAACGCAGGCGTCTCGACCCGTTCTTCGCAACGCTACTCTGCCTCCTCTCTCTTCGACTCAGCGACCCATTGGTGACAGCGTCGTTCACGGCAGGGCGAAGGTGAAGTTCTTTCTATTTTCGATCTGAAATTTTGGGGATTTTTAGTTTTTTCGATTTCGATTGTGTTGATTGGTGACGACCCATTGATTTCGACCCATTGATCTCGATTGTGTTGACTGAAAATTGCAGTGGTGACTGGTGGTGGCGATGGTAGGCAATGGCGATGGTGACTGGTTGATTGCAATGGTGGTTTGCAGTGGTGGTGATTGGTTGATTGCAGTGATTGTGCCATTCTCAATCTTGTAATCGGAGCACAAAGTGATGGAGAAAGCCATCGAGGATGAGTACTGGAGTGGAAAAGATAGTGTACGATAGTGCTTCATGGCTGGTGAAGCTTTGGTTCATACTTGGCCTTTGGTTCTTTAACAGTTGTTGTTCTAAAACCCACATTTCATACATTATGATAGACATTAGTATAAAATTTGGTTTACAATTTGCATCCTATATATGAATAGATTCTGCATTTTGTATTCTTACATGAAATTCACAGATTTATTGCTTTGGGAACCTTGTGTTGAAAGTTAGCCCTTTCTAGATTTGTTGAGTTTTGTCTGGCTAGATGGCTGCAAACCAGGTGCCTAATTTGTGTTCAAGTTGTTTAGAATTCTCGTGGTAAGTTTGGTATAGTTCTCTGGACATTGATCAATTGACAAACTGTGTGCACGTCTATCTATTTTAATGACCTCGAATCTTGTCTATTATCCACCATACTTTGGGGGCACACACTTTCCACTTGTATTTGTTAGCATTATGTCTTGTTAATCTTTTTTTGGTTTTACTTTTATGTGCCCATTAGATACTTGAATCCAGAACCTCGAACATCACTGGCTGAGGTGGATCAGCAGATGGCTCCACAATTTGAAAATCTCAACAAATCTTTGATTGAATTGGTATGTTTGAGCATCTGTCAATTTTTACATTGATCTCTACTTCTCCAAAAAGTATTTGTTTGGATCTGGAACAACATTTGTTGCCCAGATTATAAGCTTTAAATGTGTAACATGTATTTTGTTATTATCTCATATTAGCTTATTTTGTAAATTGATTGAAACTGGAGACTCTTGCTGCAAAAATACATGGCATGATCTGTGAATTCTTTTGCGTAATAGTTAATAGCTTATTTTGTAAATTGATTGAAGCTGGAGACTCTTGCTGCAAAAATACATGGCATGATCTGTGAATTCTTTTGCGTAATAGTTAGTTCAGAGAAAGGTACTTCCAAGAACAAAGAAACGGACGATCCGGTTCACGAAAAAGCTGTGCTCGAAAACCTGATGGATTTGTTGTTAACGAAGAAGATGTGCTCGATTAACTTTCTCTTTCCCAAATTGCCAAAAACCTGATGGATTTGTTGTTAACGAAGAAGATGTATTATTATACTGTTGTAATATTAGCTACAAAAGAAACTGTATAGAAATGTGAAAGCAATATTGTTATTTCCTCACATGAACTTCTATAAGTACCATCTATTTGGTAAACTCTGTTCATTTTGACTTGTCATTTTCATTAGTTTCTTTTAATGATGACATAATTTTAGGATATTTTCCTCCTAAAGACGAACGACAAATTGACACCTTTTAAAATGAAATTTTAAAGTCTTAATACAGTATTAGAGTCCATTAAAGTGTACTTCGTTCCAACTAGCACTTGGATGTTAAATTTAGACGAGCCACTTGGATGTTAAAATTTAGATTGTGTTTTTGATATGTGGAAAAAATATTTTAAAATTTAACAACTTCAAAATTAACATTATTATTTAATACTATATTAATATTAAACTATTAAAATTTATTGAATAATTAGGTTTCTGGATTAAAATATTTTAAAAAATCTTAAAATTTTAAAGTAAACGCGTTTTCTAGTTTTATGTTTTCAGAAACAGTTTTCCAAAACAACAAACAGAACGCATTTTCAGTAATTTCAAAACAAACACTCAAAACACAAAACACAAAACGAATTCAAAACTCAAAACAGAAAACTGAAACACAAATTGCATGAAGTAAATTCTAAACAGTGACAACAGGATGAGATTGCAAAATGTTCTAAATTTAGGTGGGATTCCCAACTTCAAATCTAGTAATAATTCTAAAATATACATCTTTCGTAGGGTCCATAAAACCTCCATCACTTCTTTTTAACTCCTTTTAAGTTCAGCCAATCCGAACTTTCACTTTGAAATCAACCAAGAATTTCTACAAATGAGATGAAAATGAGCACCAAACGAAGCATTAATATAAGAGTTTGTCACAAAGCGTGTGACAAATGCAACGTTCCCGTTTATATAAAGTTGCATAAATTCATCAATTGGTTCGTGTACAAGTAACCGTGCATTAATGTTCATTTTTGTGAGTTCAAGCAAAATTCAACCTTTTGAAGCCTGTTGGACTATGGACACCACATATCTCTACATTGTTATGATATTGTCCACTTTGGGCCTAATCTCTCATGGATTTATTTTTGGGCTATACCTCAAAAGGCCTCATACTAATGAAGATATTTGTCCATCCTTATAAACTCAAGATCATCCTCACTTCTAACCAATGTGGGACTTTGGTCGTATACCCAACAATCCTCCCCTCGAACAAAGGACCATTGAGCCTTCTCTCAAATTATCATCCATCCCTCCACTCTCTACCAATCAGAATGCTCTACTCCAATGCATTGGAGGCACATGCCTTACATGGAATACCACCTGTTTCGAGAGCTTGCTCTATCCAGATCAACTCCTCTTCACCATGTTGAGGTCAGGACACGTCCATGAAACATTCAGAGCACACCGCTTGTCCAATAGAGCTCATCCATGGATCCCATCGCGAGCAGACCGAGGCTCACCACCTTTGTTCGGCACTTCGAGGAATTCATCCACGTGGCTAAGTCTAAGGTTTGGCTCTAATACCACTTGTTGGACTATGGACACCACATATCTCCACATTGATATGATATTGTCCACTTTGTGCCTAAACTCTCATGGATTTGCTTTTCAGCTTTACCCCAAAAGGCCTCATACCAATGGAGATATTTGTCCATCCTTATAAACTCATGATCATCCCCACTTCTAGCCATGTGGGACTTTGGTCGTATTAAGAATTGGGGTTTCATTTTAATAGGTCAACCTTATTAAGAGGAGTAACACAATCTTTTATATGTTGGTTTATGTTTACATCTTTATTTGATGTGAGATTCTATCCATTAACATGCCCCCACAAGATAGTGGCTCATTTGACCAGACCAATCTTGAAATCCGATATGCTCACTTTTGGAATCTTAACTAGATCGAATTGCTCGTTAGAGTGTAATGGGCTCTGATACCATGTTAAGAATTGAGATTCCATTTTAAAAGATCAACCTTATTAAGGGCTTGTTCGGTAGGAATTAAAATTAGATTAAAATTGAAAAACTAGCTGTTATTGTTGACTTTTATTTGACGAGTGGGACCCAATAACGATCATATTTTCAATTTTAATTGAATTTTAAGCTGTACCGAACAGGCCCTAAGAGGAGTAACCCAATCTTTTATTAGTTGATTTATGTTTACATCTTTATTCGATATGAGATTATATCACTTAACATGTCCCCGCAAGATGGTGACTTGTTTGAGCAAACCAATTTTGAAATTCTATGCTCACTTTTGGAGTCTTAATCAAATCGAATTACTCGTTAGAGTTTCATGGACTCTGATTCCATGTTAAGAATTGAAATTTCATCTTAAAAAGTTAACATTATTTAGAGGATTAATTCAATCATTTATTAGTTGATTTATGTTTACATATTTATTCGATGTGAGATTGTATCCCTTAACACGTCGTATACCCAACAAGGCCTACAGATTGTAAAGCACTGATAGATGGGCAATATATAAAAGATTTAGAACATGAATCTTGACCACATATCAATGCATTTTGGTGCATTACTCAAATATAGCTCGTCTGAGTGAAATTATTTTTTTCATTTTCATTTTTCTACTCATTTTTAATCACACATTTTTCAATAAAAGAATATTTTTATTACATCAATAACTTTTTTTTTTCAACCACATATTCTCCATCACATCGAACAAAAATATACATTTTTGAACTCAAAATGCGCACCAAATGGGGCATAATCAACCATCCTATTATTTTATTAAGTTTTCTTTATTCTATTATGATTGAAAGTAGCTGTCCATCTACGTCCTGACCAGATTGCACAAGTGAATATCTTTATCCAGAATAGCAAGATTGCCACGTGGCAAGTGAGAAAGCCAGAAACTCTAACTCAGAGCAACTACTCTTATCCTATCTTTTATCCTACACATATCTAAGCCACTAAATTAATTTGTCCATACAATCCATTTCTGATTACTATTACTACTTTGTAATAAGGAGAAGCAGAGACAGAATAGTGAGAATAGTTATCATAAAACAAAATGGCTAGCTCATTACAAGCAGCTGCCACTCTGATGCAACCAACCAAGATTGGTGTCTCAGCCAGAAACAGTTTGCAGTTCAGGTCTGTTCAAAGTCTCGGCAAGGCCTTCGGAGTCGAGCCGGCTGGATCGAGGGTCACCTGCTCTCTTCAAGCTGATCTAAAGGACTTGGCTCAAAAGTGCAGTGATGCTGCCAAGGTTGCTGGTTTTGCTCTTGCCACTTCTGCACTCGTCGTCTCGGTACGTGACATTTGTCTGTAACAGAGATTCTTATTTCTGTCCCTTGAAAAAGATAATTCCAACACATTAATGGCATATTTAATAAGGTGAACTTGGAATGTCTATTTTAGTACCGTTTACTTCGATATTGTGTACTCCGTTTTAAGATAGATGCACCAAAATGAAGACAGTAGCTGCAAGGTCTGCTTGTTGAATTGCCAAGACTATTTCTACTCACAGGATGGCTAATTATGATAGTTTCATACTCAGAATCATAATATCAACTTGAGTTGTTTAAAAAATTGTCAGCTATCTCAGGATCTTATTTCTGGCCAATTAAATTACTTATACCTCATCTTTCTTATATATGTCGGTGAAATAGCAAGTACCGTAATCACTAATCAGTGTGCGAAATGAAAATCTTAAAATTCAGAACAAACTGTAACTTAACTTCAATGGAATAATAACGATAATAATTTTAGATTCGTGGACTCACAAACGATATGGAGTCCAGCAATGATTTGTGACTGTCACTCTGGACCAAAGAAGAACTGTATTCCATTGGATATATAACTTTCTAACAATTTAAAACAAGGTAAAATTTTTTCTTTTGTGCTTGTGATCTAGAATTCTGCAAGAGAAGAGAACATTTTGGTGATGTGCCCTTGAGCAAATTCTATGAAACATCCATTCATTAGCCTACTAGGCATATTGCGTCACTGGCTTATTTCATTTAGCCCGTAACACCATATTTCTTATGATAAGTTTAGAGAAGAGTTGGTTAGAAAAAATTATGATGCAATACTTTATGATATACCCTTGTTTGGTTTTACAGGGAGCAAATGCTGAAGGAGTTCCAAAACGTCTAACCTACGATGAAATTCAGAGCAAGACATATCTGGAAGTAAAGGGAACAGGCACTGCTAACCAATGCCCAACCATTGAAGGCGGCGTTGACGGCTTTGCCTTCAAGGAAGGCAAATACAATGCCAAGAAATTCTGCCTGGAACCCACATCCTTCACTGTGAAGGCAGAGGGTGTGAACAAGAACTCACCCCCTGAGTTTCAGAAGACAAAGCTTATGACCCGTTTAACCTACACCCTCGACGAGATTGAGGGACCTTTTGTGGTATCTCCTGATGGCTCTGTCAAGTTTGAGGAGAAGGATGGAATTGATTATGCTGCCGTTACAGTGCAGCTTCCAGGTGGTGAGCGTGTGCCCTTCCTCTTCACCGTCAAACAGCTTGTAGCATCTGGCAAACCAGATAGCTTCAGTGGCGAGTTCCTTGTGCCATCATACAGGGGTTCATCCTTCCTCGACCCAAAGGGAAGGGGTGGATCTACTGGTTATGACAATGCAGTTGCATTGCCAGCTGGTGGAAGAGGAGACGAGGAAGAACTTGAGAAAGAAAACATAAAGAATGTTTCATCTTCAACAGGAAAGATCACCTTGAGTGTTACCAAAAGCAAGCCTGAGAGTGGTGAGGTGGTTGGAGTATTTGAAAGCATTCAGCCATCTGATACTGATTTGGGATCAAAAGCCCCCAAGGAAGTGAAAATTCAAGGATTCTGGTATGCCCAGCTTGACTAATAGTGTTCTAGCATCGATGTACTAATACTTGCTTTGAATTTTGCTGTAATTGAACGGTTCATAGAACTGTCCATTGCTACATTGGAGAAGCACTGAAACAATTATCTTGCTTGTATATTATTGTGGTTTTCTGTGATCTCTTATGGAATGATAATAACAAAAGCATCAGGAAAATGTTTCTTTACACCATCAATGTAAGGTTACACATTACCAACACGTATGTGACGTATCCCGTGGACTATTTAGCAGAACTTAATGTGAATGTTAAAAGCTGTCTGGGCCTGATCAGGCACGTCAATAAATAATAACTTCATGTCTTGCGAGTAGAAAAGTTTGATACTAACGAGATACGTTTTTTTATATCTTGAGCTGCTCTTAATGAATACAATTCACAAACAGATTATCTTCATAATGCAATCTGAAAGCATTAACTCTTGCATTTCAGCTCCTAACTTTCATATGTCAAATTCAAATCAGTACTTATACTCAGAAGAGTTATAAGAATTTGAAAATTCAAAACCTCTTACCTTCTATTGTTGCTTTTGAACGTCAAAAGATCCACGTGTTTCTCGCTTATGATTTTTACTTGCAGCATTTACAACCATCAGGGAAAGGTGCTCGGCATTTGCAGGCTTCACCAATGAACTGCTTTCTAAGGAGTCACCAAAAATCTTCAGAGGAACACAGTCCCTCTTTGAAAGAGTGAAAACTAAAAGAATCTCTTCACAATGTTTTCAGATCACCACATATCCTCAAGTTTTCCGCCAGAAAAAAGTGAGCTTTTTACACTAATTGCAATATCCTCATGTTTCATAAGCCTGGAGAATAGCTCCAATGGCCAACTTTTTCCCCTATTCTATGTAAAGCCATTACCTCTTTCAGTAATTTTATCAAACAGTTGGCGGGAGCAAATAATTATGTTATGTTCAATTTCAGATTCCATGAACAGCAAATTCGTTGGAATACTTGAAACAATTTGATTCTGAAAAGCCCTTTCTCATACAGTCAAGAATGGTAGCCACCCGTTTTTACTGCCGAGAAAATTGCTAAAAAAAAAAAAAGAATTAAAGCAGAAATAAATTAAGGTAAGTCCAGCAGGCCGCCTTTGGGTGATCACATTTGCCATAAAATCTCATGCTTTCGACTCTATATCAATTACTAACTAGTTTTTTGATTGGTAAAAAAAAAAAACATACTTTTCAAATTTCAACTGCAAACGTTAGATAAACGGTATATTCTCTTGACGGTTTTAGCAGTAAACGGTATTGACGTCACAAATGAACCTGCGACGGGGAAAAATATGATTTAATTTCTTTGGGAAACCACTTATAATGGTACTAATTTATTGTTTTAAGTGGTGGATTAGAGAATGATTAGAGGTTATGAAAAGGACTGGTTACCAGTCAATTTGGTATTTGACAACGAATTCCCCACCTTACAATCATGAGTATAATATTGAAAAAAATAAAACCACCAACCCTCCTATTGTATCTATTCTGGAGCATTTCTGTGGCTACATTTTCTGTACGTGTAGTGCAGTTGATTTGACAGCAAATAGAATACAATATGATTAAGAGCCCGTTTGATAGAGATTAAAATTGAAAAATTAGTCGTTATTGTTGACTTTTATTAGACGAGTAGGACCCAATAACGGTTATATTTTCAATTTTAATTGGATTTTAATCGGTACCAAACGGGCTCTAAAGAATTGATATATGCGATAATCTTTACTCCTCTCTGGTGTAGATTAAAATCAAATTTTAATAAATTTTGATAAAAATTATGATTAAAAAGTTGTTGATTCTATAGAATGTATGATTAAAATTAATTATTGACTTTAGCTTAAATAAAAATTTAGATTTTAATTTTATCAAACGAAAAATTATTATTTATTATTTTTAATTCTATTCAAAGAAATAAAAACGTGAAAGGTAAAATTACTTATTTCATAATTTCATTATTGATTAGTAGGGACCGGCTACTTTTTTTTGACTTGAAAAGTTTAAAGTTTACTTGAGCATATTTGACCATTGAAATGTGCTAAATCTTATTTTAATACATACATTATTATTAAAAAAAAAAAGTATTATGTCCTCAAATATTTAATTGCACTACCCAACCCCATTATTCCTGAATAAAGCTATGTGTACTCAATTTTTTACACAATGTTTTACACCCCCTCACATGGAGGGGGGCCCACACATAATAAAATAATCGTGAACCCCCCTCCATGTGAGAGAGGTGTAAAACATTGTGTAAAAAAGTGTGTGTACACGTAGCACCACTCATTATTCCATTATCATATTTTACTAACATTATTCCCTAAGAAAACAGTACTAACAGAGGTAATAGTAATGTCCACAAACGTTTGGAATCCGGCAATAGAAAGACAGCTATAACAGCATATTATTGCCACTACATTGAATTAATTAATTAATTGTGAATAACAAAAAGGCTCGGTGCACCTCAAATGTGTTATCTCTTTCAACTCCCAGCCGTTCACACGAGGATTTCTTCAGATTCTCCATCGTCTCATCGTCAAATGATTCGCTTGTATTCTTTTCTTTTAAAACTTTCGTTGTTCAATATTAGAAATGATATTGAGTTTAACTCAACCTAATAAAACTTGCTTGTTAGGGGAGAATTGTCATCACCTTATTAAGTAGATCGTGTAAATATCACCAGTCAATGTGAGACTCTAATATGCCTCCTCACGCACAGTGTGGACCATGTCAAACAATTGTGAACAAATTGATATTGGGTGCACCCAACATTGCAAAACTGAATCTGGCTCCGATACCATATTAAAAAGAATATTGGGTTTAAGTCAACCTATCAAAATCAGTTTGTTAGAGGAGGACTGTCATCACCTTATTAAGTGGATCGTGTAAATATCACCAGTAAATGTGGGACTCTAATATTCAAAGTAATAAAATTATGTATTCTTTAAAAAATCACTTTTCGTAACTTATTTTTTTAAAAATCTACATTAAATAGATCCAAAATATTTTTCTCTACATAGTGTTTTCATTATTAATTTTATTAAAACAACCCCAATAAATTGTGTTAATTTTGGCATGCATCCCACAAATTTAAAATTTTGATTAAAATAGTCAATAAAGCAGCAAAGAAAAAAAAAAATCGGAGAAAAGAATTAGTACATGTTTTAGCCTCGTTTTCTATTTTTTTTATAAACTTATTTTTAATCCTACGTCCTCACAATAAAATAATTTACACGTAAATTTAAAATTTTTCCTATTTTTAAAATACACATTTTTTGAAAAAATCATTACTACAAAACTTTTTTTTTCACACGAGGGACTCAAGCATGGCATTTTAATGAGAAGGAAAAGTCTTCTTTGTTTCCTTCATAACCACTCTCTACATCGTTTCTTTTCTCCATCCAACAAACCATCTTACCTTTCCACTATCAAATTCCAAGAAAAACTGTTACATAATTCCTTTTTTTTTTTTTCTAAAAATTAAATTCAATTTGCTTTCTCTTTTTTCCTTTTGATTTTCGATGAGAATCGTGGTATGGCCTGTGCAGAGAAATAAATGGCTATGAAGAACATCTGTTATCGCCATAGGCATACAGGAGTTTGTAATTTCAAGAAACAGAGAATTCTATGTGTGTGCTATGGATGAATTGCCAGGGGCTTTGGGAACAAGTGCTAGCTTGGCTTTAAGATTAGGACAGGCCGTTTTTGCTGTTGCTTCTCTGCTCTTCATGTGTTTAGATATTGAGTTCTACAGTTACACTGCTTTCTGGTAATTCTTTAATTTCTTAAGTTGATTTCTTTTTTATGGGTATTTTTTATTTATCTTCATTTTTTATTATTGGTTGTTTTGTGGGGTTTTATGAATTTGATTTTTAGATTTTTTTAAAATTTTTTTGGATAATATGTGTGCATGCATGTATGGATTAGTACTGATCATAAATAAATTGAATGGGAGATCACAGGGATCATGTGATAACAAGATCTAGAAATTTGGGTTTCTTCGTGTTCTTAATTTTTTGTTCTGTCGGTGAAGAGTACAAATTTGTGACAGCTATGTTTGACAATTTTGAAGGGGATTGAGTAGCAGTGAGAATTAGGTGGAGAAAAAAAATAAGGATAAAAATAGAAATTTAGAAGTTATCATGCCATTTAGGCTATTTCCAAAGATATATCTCAACATTCAAGTGGGTATTCATTAGTTTCCATATTTAGTGATTACAATTATAGCATTCAGGAAATTACAAATTACAATTAGTTAGAATCGATCTTTTTCCCTTATTTTTGTGGTCGAATCGAATACATGGCATACCCTTTGTATTGATGCATACACACTCAATCATTATTGCATCATATCAATAAATAATTGAATGGAGGTTAGCTCGGCATGCTGGGCAGATGGAAAGACCACTGAAAATTAAGTATAATGACCACAGAATGTTAATTTTCTGGAAAAGGACTGTGATGAATTTTGTGCATATAAATATAATGCTTTGTAAATTTTAGCGCATTTTTGTATCTTTTTGAGCTTCCTTGTCAAAACATGGCCTGAGAAATGTCAATGAAATTGAAGGAATCTATGTTAAGCATATAATGAAAGTGGAATTATCACCTGTTTTATTTGCTGCATTATTGTCGTTGCAGCAGATACAGAGTTCCAGAGTTGTATCATTAGGTATTAGCTCTGGCTCTGTAGGGTTTATTGTTGATTGAATGACAACTTAGGATTGCAAGTATTTTTGAGTATTTAAAATTTACTTCAATAGTTCCTGGATTCCTCACTTGGCAGGTTCCCCACTGTTCTGATTTTATTGCGTAGGTTTAGGTGTCCATATTACTATTATATTCTTCAATACTCTTGATGTGCCGCAAACAATTTTATAGGTTACGAAGTCCCTGATTGTCTCTCATTACGGTTCTAATGTGGAATTTATGTTGTTTATTTTATATATTGTAAGCAAATTTGTGAATCCTCTATGGTAAGAACATCAAAATTTAAAATAAAAAACATTGCCTTTAATTCGTATGTTTGAAGGATCATTCATTTGATAAATTGGTATATTATCAGGGTCATTCAATTCGTGTAACATGCAAAACCTTGTAACTTAATGAAATGAGAAAAATACAAAAACTCTGCATGGTTTGACGAGTGCCTGGAGGAAGTCCATACATCGGATGGTTCACGTTAACTTTTCCTTAAAATGTTTGGTAAGGGGAATATAAAAAAAGAAACAGACAGCAAAATTTTATTCATTGAAATGTGTAGCGTAATCTAATATTATATACCAAACGTGCACTTTGTTTTCCGGTTAGTGTAATTTTTTTTTTTTTCACTTATTCTTTTTATCATTCTATATTAGCAAATTTTAAGGTTGCAAATCATGGGGATATACTAGTTCAATTGTTAGTTGTATTTCTTTCTATTTGCAGCTTTCTGGTGACCATCATGGGTTTAGTGATTCCGTGGAGCTTGACATTGGCTATGGTGGATGCATTCTCTGTTTTCATGAAACGTCCTACTCATCAATCCAGTTTGCTTTCAATGATTATCGTAGGAGATTGGGTATACGGCTAATTTCTTAAATTTGATTGTGACCCAAAATATCCATTATGGTAGAATAACGAAAACGTTGTCTGCCTTCACAGATTCTGTCATTTCTGTCATTAGCAGCTTCAAGTTCAACAGCTAGTGTGTCTGATCTTTTGATTGCGTCTAATGGTTCCTTCTGTACTGCAAATATATGCACGCGATATCAACTGTCAGCTGCAATGGCCTTCTTGTCTTGGTTTCTGTCATTAGCCTCCTCCCTCTTCAACCTGTGGCTTCTTCCTACCTCATAATTCATCTATATATTCAATGTTCGACTTTGGGACGTGCCTGTAGAAATTAAAATTAAGTGATTTTTCCCAAAAAAGTTTTGTTGTTCAGAATTTAGAGTTTGGATATACATGTTCAATGTGGAAAATTATTCCTTGTAGTCTTGTAAGTGTACATATATTGAATCCTTTCATGAAATCTGTAATAAAAGATGTTAACGAAGTTTTTGGGTGAATTCTGTTGTACTTCGTCAACCACTGCATTTCTTAATTTAGTGGATAGTCAAGCGAACTCATTTCCTTCTGTGCCTTCTATCCATCTGGTGACCTACAATATGCACGCTTACTGTAAAACCTGAACGGAATCAGCACATGTATAACAACTTAATTATGGGCTATGCGAATAACAAACACCTGGAAAGGCATTTTTGCTTTATCAAACAAATGCTCTGTTCTGGTATTTTCCCAAACGTGTTTGCTTTCCATTTTATACTGAAAGCGTGAGCGACTCTACAGGCATACCGAGAAGGGATTTTAACTCTTGTTCATGTGATGAAGTTGGGGTTTTTTAAGTCTCATATTTGTGTGCAAAATGGGCTTATAAATTTTTATATTGGCTCTGGAAAGATTGAGTGTGCACGAAAAATCTTTGATGGTATTGAGGCTAGGACCAGAGTTTCATGGAACTCATTGATCAATGGGTATTCGAAAATGGGTTGTTGGAAACAAGACTGTTTTTTAGGATGAGAAAAGGAGGGTTTGAACCTGATGATCGTACCTTAGTTTCTATCAGTTTGTTCGGGAAACTATGATCTTGAGTTAGGGAGGTCTCTTCATAACTTCAATTAGTATATGGAAATTAGTGGGGTTTATTTGATGTTTATGTCCATAATGACTTCTGGACATGTATGCCAACTGTGAGCATTTGCAAACAGCTGAAGCAGTTTTCAATCGGTTATTCATAAAAATGTTGTTTCCTGGACTTCCATTCTATGGTTAGTGCACATGCCAAACACGGAGTAGTGGAAATAGCTAATAATGTTTTTGATAAAATTCCTGTAAAAAATGTGGTTTCTTGGAATTCCATGATTTCTTGTTATCTCCAGAATGGTTACTATAGGGAAGCTCTGGAAGTCTTTTCCAAAATGTGTAATTCTGGAATTCATCCTGATGAAACTACTATAATTAGTGTTCTTTCAGCCTGTAGTCATGTTGGTGAGCGACAGGAAGGAAATTCCATGACCATGTCCACGATAATATTATGAAACCTACTGTTGCTTTGAATAATGCACTTATAGACTTGTACGTGAAATATGGTTCGAAAGAGGGCATTAGATGTCTTTCTTAAGATGCCTGAGAAGAATACTGTCACGTGGAATACTATAATTTGTGCCCTCGCATTACATGGCTGTGGATTTAGAGCAACTGAACTTTTTGAAGAGATGGAGGCAGAAGGAATACTGCAATTACCTTCACTAGCTTGCCTTCGGCTTGTTGTCATGGTTGTCTCATTGATACTGAAAGATCCTTTTACCACAAAATGATTCACAAGTACAAAATACCCCCCATGATACTGAGCACTATGCCTGCACGATCGGTATTCTTGGTCATGGAGGGCTTTTGGAAGAGGCGCTTCAGCTTGTTGGAAAAATGCCAATGAAGCCAGACATAGTTATCTGGGATACTTCGCTTGGTGCTTGTAGAATTCGAAGGAATGTGGAAATTGCAAAACTGGTGTTAAAGCAGCTACTGGAACTGGATATATTCTGTAAAGCTGAAAGATGGGAAGACATGAAGAAGGAAACTAATGAAGGATCGTGTTGTCAGAAAGAGTGATGCAGTCAGCTCTATTGAAATTGGTGGGCACATTTCTGATTTCATGGTTGATGACAACAGACATGAAGCTTCTCATGTAATCTGTTACCCCCCCCTCGTTTCGAGGGTGGCAGAAGGCCGGCCACGTGGCAAGCCACGTGTAGGGCAGTCAGAAAGAGCAGAGAGGACAGCAAGTGGGTCGGGAGCCCCGGGAAGGAAACGAACTGCAATTACCTTCACTAGCTTGCTTTCGGCTTGTCTTGTCATGGTTGTCTCATTGATGCTGAAAGATCCTTTTACCAAAAAATGATTCACATGTACAAAATACCCCCCATGATACTGAGCACTATGCCTGCACGATCGGTATTCTTGGTCATGGAGGGCTTTTGGAAGAGGCGCTTCTGCTTGTTGGAAAAATGCCAATGAAGCCAGACATGGTTATCTGGGATACTTTGCTTGGTGCTTGTAGAATTCGAAGGAATGAGGAAATTGCAAAACTGGTGTTAAAGCAGCTACTGGAACTGGATATATTCTGTAAAGCTGAAAGATGGGAAGACATGAAGAAGATAAGGAAACTAATGAAGGATCGTGTTGTCAGAAAGAGTGATGCAGTCAGCTCTATTGAAATTGGTGGGCACATTTCTGATTTCATGGTTGATGACAACAGACATGAAGCTTCTCATGTAATCTACACCGTTATCAATCAGTTGACAGATCACATAAAGTCCAAAGGATGCAGTCTTGATAGGGAATTCTTAGATGCCAACGAAATTTGAAGCTTTGAAGTAAGTGGGGGTTACATCCATACCCAGTGTGAATGTGCATTCTTCGTAAGAGAACCCAAGAGCAATTTCACAAGCTTCCCTAATGCTATTTCAAGTTTATTCAACAGAAATTTCTTTAGTGGTGTGGCTGTGGCACTCTATAGCTTGATCTATAGGAAGAAAATGCATGGACCGACCAATCACTGTAAAGGTGCTTTTCACATATAGGAATACCATAGAATCCATATTTCTTTTCGTTTTCGGGCTGGGAAGCACGGGTAAGAATAAGTTCAAAAATACCTTTTAAATAGATCCCTCAAGAAGCCCAACATTGCTAATATTGGCAAAAATTCAGTTTCTTCTTATGTTTATTACTTAAATATTTTCGAATTTTTGTTTCTATAGATTTCTTTTCTTTTCTTTTTTACGATAAAGACAGTTTATAGATTTAGGATAAGGGTACTGTAATAAAGCAACCACCTGTTGTAACATACTTATGTCCTCATTCTCTTCTTTTTATAGTTTATACATTAATTGGAAATTCAAATATCTGTAAATTTCATATTTAAATCTTAAGATTAATATTTAGCCCCCGTTTGGTCCGGCTTAAAATCTGATTTTAATCTAAGTCAAAATCAAATAATCAATATTAATCGCATCTTTCATAGGTCCCACAACTTTTCAACAACACATTTTAAAAACTTATATCACAATCTACTAAAAATCTAATTTTAATCCCCACCAAACACCTGTTTAGGTTAGATTATGAACATCCCAACAAGGGAAGATTACATCTATCTTATTTAATTTGACGTTCAAATTATGCTTCGTCGTATTTATTTATTAATTAATTAAACATTATCTTCAGGTTAGGTGAAGAATTTAATGCAATTCAACGAATGAAGACTAGTCTAAAGATCATGGGTACATTGGACTTTCCCTCAACAAATTCATCATTCATTCAATAACGTAATCTTATTGGATTCCGTACAGCCAGGTTGTGGATCATAAGATTAAATAGTATTATGATTCAATAATCTTGTGTGATCAATCCGACACCCTTGTTACTTCGTTGTCTTTAATCCTACGGAAGGTGCATTTCATTTTCTTAATGAGATCATAGGAGAAGGTTACTGTGGTCGGCGAATGAAAAAGGCA